AAAAAAAAAAAAAAAAAAAAAAAAAAAAAAAAAAAAAAAAAAAAAAAAAGCACAGCATCGTTCCATTTTTGTTTAAAAGTGATGATTTCATAGGTTATTATCTATAAAAGAGAAAACCTATGGGAAAATACACCAAACTGAGAATAAAAGAGGTCTTCTCCAAGGAGGGTCAATATGATACATTGTTCTGCAATGTGAAATTTTCCCTAATAAACGTTATATTTAAAAATTACATCTATCATACATTTCTTACTAATTTGCAAAGGGAAAATGTACCTTTGCAATGGCGAGAGAGTGGTTACCAGCTTAGTCAAGTGATCAAACTGAACATCATTATGGGACTCCCTAACATGGGCCCCCTGCTGTGATGTAATTTGAAGTTTACATCAGTAACTGAAGTATTCTTGCCAAAAGAAAATATTTAACCTGAACCTAAATAAGCATCTAGATCAATGATTCTCAAACTTGAGGTACACCAGCATTACCTGAAGATCTTGTTGAAACATAGGTTGCTAGACCCTACTCCCAAAGTTTTATTTACAAATTAAATTTAGTATATCTGCAGTGAGGCCCAAAATTCTGCATTTCCTCCCCCAGAAGTCCCCAGATGTTGCTGATGCCACTGGTCAGGAGATGACACTTTGAGGACCACTGCTCTAGACCTAACTCTCAGGTTATAGAAATACAGGGTTAGGGAACAAGATAAATAGCACCACAAAGAAACTACCAGAAAAATCCAGAATACAGAATATTCTATGAAACAATTGGCCTGGACTCTTTAAAAAGATAATATTACAGGAGAGGGGGAAAAAGCTGAAAGAAGGAATTCGGGGCTATTCTAGATTAAAAGAGACCCCAGAAATAGCACATATGCACAAAAGATTCACTGGATCCTGGGCTGGGATTTAAAATAAAAAACAGATTTTAAGGCTGGCCAGGCATGACTCAGGGGTTGAGAATTGACCTAGGATCCAGGAGATCACAGTTCTATTCCCCGTCAGGGCACATGCCCCGGTTTCGGGCTCAATCCCCAGTTGGGGGCGTGCAGGAGGCAGCTGATCAATGACGACGCTCTCATCAGTGAAGTTTCTATCTCTCTCTCCTTCTCCCTTCCTCTCTCTGAAATCAATAAAAACAACAAAAAAGATTTAAAAAACCACTATGCTGTATACCTGCAACTAATACAAAATAATATTAATGTAAATTGTAATTGAAAAATAAAATTTAAAAACCAAGCAAACAAGGCCAGCTATAAAAAAAAAAGCAATAACATTTTGGGAAAATTGAGAAAATCTGAACTGGGTATTATGCAGTTATTAATTTTCTCAGATGCGATGATAGTGCTGTTATGATGGTGAAAGTCCCTATTCCTAGTCAATGCACTCGGAAACATTTAGAGGTGAGGTGTCAGGACAGTCTGCAACGAAATTTCAGTCAGTTCAGGGAGAGAAAAAAGTGTATGAGAGACACACAAGGGAAATGTGGCAACACTAATCTGAGTCCAGGTGGGAGGCACACAAGCATTCATTATACTATCATCTCAACTTTTCTCTATGTTTAAACATTTTCAAAATAAAAAGTTGGGAAGAGGAAAAAACTATAGACATGATTATTCTAATTTTCTGTGTAATGGGAAAGGCATATGGAGCACATAGACATATATAAAATAAACCCAAATATTAATAGTGCTTTTTCATCATGGGGCCTTACAGGCAATTTATTTTCCTTTCTAATTTTCATATGTTAAAAAATGCTCTGTAATAGGTATATATCACTTTTATAAACAGAAGCATAAACATGTTCTTTAAAAATTTAAAAAACAGATTTTAACAAAATCACACAAGCAGGCCCCTTCCCCGTCAGCCCACTGCATGCTCAGGGCAGCTTGCAGAACAGGTGTGCCCAGGTGTCTCCCCATCACATTTTCTACCAGGACATCTCCGCACCAGGAGGCCAGCTGACTCGCTTACTTGGTGCTGGGTCTTACTCTCCATGTGCCCCAGCTTCATATTCATTTTATCCTGAACCGATCCCAGCTCCGCTCTGATCTCCTCCACAGTCGCCTCCAACTGATTCTCCAGCTTGTTGATCAGGGGTTCACATCGACAACCGTTTATTGGCGCCTAAGAGGGAAACAAAAAAGGAACAAATCCAACTCATTTGTTCCTTCAAAAACTCAGTTTTGAGTGCCCATCATGTGCAGGTCAGCACAGCAGGGGTCCAGATGATAGACACAGGCTCAGCCCTGTCGTACCCTTGGAATGTCCCAAGGCCATGCTGGGTACAGTAGGCTCCAGGAAGAGTCTGAGGGGGCGATGTGGTCCCATCCTCAGGCTGCTTTTATCCACTCCGGGGCCTCAAGTTTATAATTACCTAAGGATGGTGCAGGAAGGTTTGTAAGCACCCCACTGTGTGCCTGGGCCTAAGGGACAGGAGTGTATCTCACTGTTTACATGGGGCAGGCCATCTGCCTTCTCCTCAAAGTTCAGACCTACTTAAGCCAATGCCTAAAGTGGATATTAGCCCGCAGATATAGTGTTCAATAGACAACCCTGCAGAAGGCGTATAGTCTCACATCCCGACCGATGGGGCTCAGCAGGTACCTGCATCACTTTCCCGTCCTTGCCCCGGTAAAGCGTATAGAGCTGGTATGCTCTGAACTCGTGGGGAGGGGGTGGAGGTGAGCATCGATGCCTGGGCCTCTTTTTAGGGTGATTATGAGCATGCACGTTCTTCTGGCGTCCAGGCTGTTGGTCTGCAGGTGGGGTGGGGTCAGAAAATGCTGACACCTGTGGGAGAAGAAGAGACAACACCCCTCGACACTGTGACAACTGCAGGACTGACCCCCGGCCAGTGGCTCCCATCTCACCCACTGTTGGGCAGAGAACCCCACCTAGCTTCATCTCATGGCATTCTACTCCAAGCACCACGTACCCAAAGAAACACATCAGCATGCTAACCTTGCGTCTGATGTTAACCAGATCTAATTTCTGTGCCCTGGCTCCAAACCAGCCAGCCAAGTGAAGGAGCTTTTAAGCTGTTGGGCACGATGCTGCCCCAGGGCTCTCCGCCAACCTGCTTCCCAGCCCTCTCTCAGCTGCTTGCATGTGCCTCCTGACCTTGGGCCTTGACTTTTGCCTCCTGCTGTCCTTGGCTTTGGCCTCTGGAGAGGCTGATGGGAAATCTTCTCTGGCCTCTTCTTTTCTGGGTGCAGCCTGATCACTGCTAGGGGTGTCTCCTGCTGACACACTTCCCTACAGAGGAAAAATAAAAAGCCCAGAAACCTGTTTGACTTGCCCCCTTGGCCTTTTTCAATAATGGGCGTAAAATTCTATTTGCAAGACTCCCACAGGACCCATGGAAACCTTTGCCGACGATTCAGACACAGGGCACTGCTTTGGTGGTCTTAACTGCACATGTACACTTTTCCCAGTCAGTTGAATATTTGGCTTTTACTCTATTTATTAGGCGTCAAACTAAATATAATCTCGGGCCTAATTCTATGTGAACTTCAGGAGCCTCAGGGTGAGAGATTTCTGGTCTTTTGTATTTCAACAAAAAACCACCCCACATATTCTTTGGACTTGGTCTCTCACAATTCATAGCAGAGAGAACCCTTTTAAATGGGGGGAAAAAACACACATCAAGTTTCTGATCCTTGTGAGAACTTTTTAAAATTAAAATGTATAATTCACACACAGGAACGTAATCAGTTACAATGCCTTAAGCCTAGAAACTGATAAGAGGATTTTGAAATAGAAGAAGTATTTCATACAAAACTTTATGTGCCCCAAGTTCTCTCTAGCCTAGTCTCCTTCCTGGGAGAGCTGAGAAAGCACGGTTCACCGAGGGCTGCCGTGTGTAGCAGTGAGAGCTGCTCACTGCACACGGGCACCTAACCAGGGGAGTAAGTGGACACGGGGAGCTGAAACCCAGCTCGGGCTCTAATCCCTGCATGTGCCCCGTGCCGCGGCCGTCTGCCCAGAGAGCATCTTTTTCTAACTTGCACAGCCTCAGTCTATTCCCTAAGCAGAGACAGAGGACACAACCTATGCCAGTGGTTCTCAAAATGTAATCCACATCAGAACCACCTGGAGGGCTTGTTCAAACACTGATTGCTAGGCCCCAGCCGGAGTTTCTGATCCAGTGGGTCTGAGGTGAGGCCCCACAATCCGCATTTCTAACAAGGTCCCAGATGACAGTGGATCCCACACTCAGAAAAGCACTGCTCTACACAATTATGGGTACAGTGTCAGGGGCTAGTAACAATAACCACACAAGGGTGCTGGGAAAGATGGGCAGCACACGCAGGCACACAATCTGAAATCCTGATGAAGTGAAGGACATGAAGCCAAAGGGGATGGACTGGCAACAGTTAGAAGGACCCCGGGGAAAGAAGAGACAGAGAGGGCATGGCAGCTGCCAGAACCCAGAGGAGGCAGAGAGGTAGTTCCCACCCTCTGAGAAGGGGGTGAGGGTGGGGAGGTGGAAGGGGGTATGAGGAGGGGCGGGAGGGCTACCCCCCACCTTGCTTTGTGCCACCTCATCTCTTGGCACAGACTGAGCTCTCCTCTCTTCCTTGAGCCTCTCTCTCTTTTTCCTCAGACTTCGCCCACGACTGAAGCGCAAGACCTGAAGGAGGCAAGAGGCATTGTTACAAACCGGAGCAGCGTAGGCGTGGAGGATTCTCCTCGGACCTGGTGCCTGACCTAGGGAGCTCCCAGACTAACAGGAGACCAAGCATTCACATCAAGCACCTCAGACCACCTGCTATGCCTCCCAGGTCTTGTGCTGGGCACTTTACAGACCCAGAGATGGACACTGTCTCTGACCTCAAGGAGCTAACAGTCTATGACAATAACAGGCATTTAGGTGCCAGGCCAGGGCTACCACGCAAGTGTGTGCAGGCTGTGCACTGCTTAGCTCCAGAGAGCGCCATTCACACAGACTGGAGACTAGGATATGAGCGGCACCCCCTGGAGCTGTGCAAGGCGGCAGCCCCATGCCAGGCACAGCCTCACTCACTATCTTGGAGAACTGGACCCAAACTAGCCATCAGATTTCCTCTTGGTCAAACCATACCCAAGTCATATATAATTTGATTAAAAATTATCACAGTGCATCTGTGATCCATGCTACCAACCATGGAGCAGGAACCTCTTCCCCAAAAGGGAGCATCTGGTCGGCTCCTTAGAGTACAGAGAGGTGGAACAGGCACAGGCAGGTACTCAGGAGGTCTGAGAGACCCAGGGTTCCACCTAGCTGTAGGGCCTCTGGACAGGTTATCAGATACCTTTGTGCTCTATCTTCTCAAAGAGTTGCTGGGATTAACCAAGATAAAGGACCCTCGGTCACTGTCAGCTGTCTCCCCCCCACCTCAGTGACTCAGCTGCTTAACTGGCAGAGGGTGCTTAACCAGGGTGCAGACGTTTGAGCTGGTGGAAACCTTCACACCCTTTCCCCAGCTCCCTACTCCCACTGCCAGGGCTCACTCCTTTCACCAAGGAGGTCCAGAAAGTGAAAACACTTTTCAAGGTCACACTATCTTTCTGCAACAAAACATTTTACTGTTCTTTTATATGAATAGACAAGGGCTCTCTAAAGTTCCGAGCAGTATTTTTCATCTGTTTCAGACTTTCTTCTGTGCTCATTATATTCAAGTGACACAGTTACCACAAAAAGAACCTTTATGGGCAGTGGGTATCACGTGAAGGGAAAACCCCTGACAACACCTGCCTGTGAATAAACTTGGTTTTTAAATCCTATTATCACCCTCTGAGCCAGCAGCTCTGAAAGCCTTGGGAATCCCAGGGTCCATGAGATTAGGATTATTTTTCTAATATTAAGATAATGTGGAACTTTTTCACTGTCACTCTCTCCTGAGTGTACAGTGGCATTTACCAGGGGCTGCATGCATGATAATGCAATAGACAGTATGCAGAAATGCATGGACCCTGCTATCCTCTAAGTAAGACGGTAAGGCGGTCTACAAAAATGTAAAACAATGCTGTGCTCAACTTTTGTTCTGAAAGATATTTTTCACAAAACAATGCTATTTCTATTATTACAAAGTGGACTTCTAATTTTAAAATTAACATCTTTAAGATTTCTCAAGTTTAATTTTAAATATGGTAACTATTGATGGATAAAATTCACATAAACAAAGCTCCTTGTGACCTCCAAAATATTTTAAAATGTACAAGGGTCCTTAAACCAAAAGTCTGAGAACCACTGTCCTGAGCCATTTCTAAAGCTAAACTTAGACTCACTAGAAAGTCAAGTCTGATGAAAGGAAGTGATTAGTGCCCATCACTCGTACAGTTCATGGACTCTCATAACAGGATACAGCACCAGAATCTGCCTGAAGTTCACTTTCAGAAGCACTGTAGAACATCAATCACAAATGAGAAGTGACACTCAGAGGTCACCCAAACCAAAAATAATCATCAGAGAATTTCTCTCCATAGACTATGTTACTAGCCAGTGAAAATCATACATCTACCAAATGAAACATCACCAATCTTTTCCAATTCACAGAAATTAGGGAATATTGATCCCAAAGCCTCGGAAAGAAATACCCTTGGTTCTGCTGTGAACCATGAAAATTCATGGTCAACTAAGGCACCACGGCAAAGAGATTTCTTATTTCAGACAAAACAAACAGTAAGGCTATTTCTGTAATTAAGGAACAACAGAACAGCAGGCCTATAATTTTATGCATATTCCAAAGTTTCTTCTTTGTACTGAGAATAGGGTTTAGCATATACAACTATGTAAAATAAGCTTTCATAAGAAGTCACCCTATTTGCTATTCAATCTGGGCATAGAAAAACCCAGTAATTTTTTTAATGGAAACACTAAGGGAGAATCACACAGAAAAACTGTTTACGGTAAAGCTTCCCCATGATTTAAGATCCTTGGGCTCTGGAAGACAAACAACAGGTGGGTCAAAGGCCCATCAGTCTGTGTGTACCTGGGACCTTCGACCTCACAAAATTTGATGATCTCCATGTGGCTGAGCACACAGCTGGCTGTCCATCAAAATGCCAAACACTAAAATGCCATATAACTGTGATGAATTCTGACACTTACGGAGCACCCTGGACTTTTTGATCCATGAGAGACAAGCATTTTTCTATCAGGGCTCATGGACTTATTCCACTGATGATTTCTTTGTAAATAATTGGAGAAAGGTGGAGCCTTTTCCCAAAGGAGCCCTGACTTGCACCTGTCAGGGGTTCCATGGACTTCCAGGGACCACAAGAAGGACCAACTCCATGGGCAGGAGGGTGATCAATTTTGCAAAAGACAAAGATCTTAACCATTTCCAGAAACTACTTCTATCAGGCATGTTTTTAAAACTTAAAGAAGGGCCATGCAGAACCCTAGGCTGGCTGGGACTGAGCTATGATGCAGCAGGTTGGCGTCTAGAGTCTTTCTTGGCTCCCTGACACTTTATTCTCTTGCAACAGTAGCCAGAATAAGGTGGAAAGCAAATGAGTGTTTACTATTATGTAACACAGAACAGCTCCAATTGGGAAATAACCTAAATGTCCTATGTTAAGGAAAGGGTTTACCAAATATCCACAATAAAAAAGAACACTATGCCTCTATTACGATGAATAATTGTGATGACTGCAGATTTTCCTATTACAGTTAGGATAAAGGACAGACTACAAAAGGGTATATACAGTGTAGGCACAATTATGTAAAAATTATGTGTCAGTGAAAGATACTGTGAAGAAACAAGTTATTTCAGGGTGCTGAAATTCTGACTAGCTTATAAATTATCACTATTAAATTTATTACGTAGATCATTTCAACCTCAACTCAATATCAGTCATCTTTTTTTTTTTAAACTGATTACCAAAATTCCATTCTTCACTAAAAAAGGAAAGAAAACTATCCCGTACTAAACTACCTCTAAATGGACATTTACTGCTTTGTCTGCTTAGAATGGGCCCCTCCTCCCACCACTCTCTAGAAAATGCCCCTTGACCACATGGTCCAATGGACACAGCCATCTTCTTAAAGCCTCAGTCGCATTTGTTCGGGGCACTTGCCCCAAGCTCTCCTGCAATGTTTGTTTGTTTGTTTGTTTGTTTATTTCTATTGTTGAGAGTATTACAGGTGTCCCATTTTCCCCCCCAAGTGACCGCCTCCACTTCGCTCCCACCTCCTCCCCAGGCCTTCACCCCGTTATTGACTGTGTCCATGGGTTATGCACATATGCATATAACTTCTTTGGTTAATCTCTTCCCACCTTCCACCCCCTTCCCTCTTTCCTCTGAAATATGATCGTCTGTTGCATGTGCCAGTGTCTCTGGATCTATTTAGTTCATCAGATTCTTTTGTTCATTAGCTTCTTCTTAAAGAAGACACTTCAACTTTTCCTGTAGTGTTGGTCTGGTGGTGATGAACTCCTCTAGCTTTTCCTTGTCTGAGAAGCTCTCTATCTGACCTTCAATTCTAAATGATAGCTTTGCTGGGTAGGGCAATCTTGGTTGTAGTTCCATGTTTTTCATCACTTTGAATATTTCTTGTCACTCCCTTCTGGCCTGCAAAGTTTCTGTTGAGAAATCAGCTGACAGTCGTATGGGTGCTCCCTTGTAGATAACTGCTTTTCTCTTGCTGCTTTTAAGATTCTTTGTCTTTAACCTTTGGCATTTTAATTATGATGTGTCTTGCTGTGGACCTCTTTGGGTTCCTCTTGTTTGGGACCCTCTGTGCTTCCTGGACTTGTAAGTCGATTTCTTTCCCCAGGTAGGGAAAGTTTTCTGTAATTATTTTTTCAAATAGGTTTTCAATTTCTTGCTTTCTTCCCCTTCTGGCACCCCAATAATATGAATGTTGGGCCTCTTGAAGTTGTCCCAGAGGCTTCTTATACGATCTTCATATTTCCGGATTCTTTTTTCTCTTTGCTCTTCTGGTTGGGTGTTTTTTGTTTCCTCATGTTCCAAATTGCTGATTTGATTCTCAGTGTCCTCCACTCTACTGTTGATTCCATGTAAATTACTCTTCATTTCAGTTCCTGTAGCCTTCATTTCAAATTGGTACTTTATTATGTCATCTATTTTTCTCAGTTATTTCCCTAATAGTCTGCTTAAACATTCTTATAAACAAAATTCTGAACTCTGTATCTGTTAGCTTGCTTGGATCTATTCATTTAGTTCCTCTTCTAGAGATTTCTTCTGTTCTTTCCTTTGTGACATGTTTGCCTCCACATTTTGGCTGCTTCCAGGTGTTTGTTTCTATGTATTAGGTAGAGCTGCTATGTCTCCTGGAGTTTGTAAAGTGGCTTTGTGTAGTAGGTGTCTGTAGGGTCCAGTGGCCCAGCCTCCCTGAGTCACCTGATCTGGGCCTTCTAGGTGCTCCTCTGTGTGGGCTGTGTGCACTGTCCTGTTGTAGTTGAGCCTTGGTTGCTGTTGGCATCACCGAGAGGAATTAACCCCCAGTCCAATCAGCTGTGAGGACCAGCTGCAACTACAGCCAAAGAGCTGCTGTGCTGGAGTCACCCCTATGGAGCAGGATTTACTTCAATGTGGCTTTGGTGTTCACCAAGTGCGCCCCTTGAGTGTCACTCGTGGATGTGGTAGGGTTGTAATCCAGTGTGGTCGAGTCTGACCNTTTTTCTCTTTGCTCTTCTGGTTGGGTGTTTTTTGTTTCCTCATGTTCCAAATTGCTGATTTGATTCTCAGTGTCCTCCACTCTACTGTTGATTCCATGTAAATTACTCTTCATTTCAGTTCCTGTAGCCTTCATTTCAAATTGGTACTTTATTATGTCATCTATTTTTCTCAGTTATTTCCCTAATAGTCTGCTTAAACATTCTTATAAACAAAATTCTGAACTCTGTATCTGTTAGCTTGCTTGGATCTATTCATTTAGTTCCTCTTCTAGAGATTTCTTCTGTTCTTTCCTTTGTGACATGTTTGCCTCCACATTTTGGCTGCTTCCAGGTGTTTGTTTCTATGTATTAGGTAGAGCTGCTATGTCTCCTGGAGTTTGTAAAGTGGTTTTGTGTAGTAGGTGTCTGTAGGGTCCAGTGGCCCAGCCTCCCTGAGTCACCTGATCTGGGCCTTCTAGGTGCTCCTCTGTGTGGGCTGTGTGCACTGTCCTGTTGTAGTTGAGCCTTGGTTGCTGTTGGCATCACCGAGAGGAATTAACCCCCAGTCCAATCAGCTGTGAGGACCAGCTGCAACTACAGCCAAAGAGCTGCTGTGCTGGAGTCACCCCTATGGAGCAGGATTTACTTCAATGTGGCTTTGGTGTTCACCAAGTGCGCCCCTTGAGTGTCACTCGTGGATGTGGTAGGGTTGTAATCCAGTGTGGTCGAGTCTGACCACCAGGTGCACTGTCTCTGGGGCCTCCTGGGAGGTGCAAAGTCAGCCTGTGCCAGTGCCTTGCCCAGGGCCATCCAGCATGAGCTACACAGCAAACCGTAGTTGGCTGCTACTTGTGCTGGGCTTGGAGGTGTCCAGGAGAGGCCCAGCTATGAGCCAATGCAGGCTGCCGCTAGTGCCAGGCCTGGGGCCATTTATCAAGCTGTATGGGGCCTGTCGTTGCTTGTTTGAGAGATTTTAGGAAAGTCCTAAGCATGAGGCTCGAGAAGCCACCTACACAGAAAAGCCCCTGGAAATGGCCCGGATGAGCCTGCAGGTGGGGAGGGGTGGGGCCAAAGGTGTGAGTCAGGGGCTGGCGATTCAAATATGGCACCTGCCTGCCGGCTGTGTGCGGGGAGGACTCGCCAAAGGAGCAACGGCCTCTGCCAGCTCTTCTGCCTGGGAGGAAGCTGCCCCTCCACCTCTCGCCCGGATTTCAGACAGGTTAGTTCCTCCCCAAGTGTCCCAGGTCTTTCAAGCTGCTGCCCAGCACTGGGCTCAGAGGGAGCGTGTCCAAGTGAGTCCGTGCGCGGGCCCTTTAAGAGGAGCTGCTGGGGCCCCCACAGCCTCCTCGACCCTCAGCGAGAGCCCCCGCTGTTTTTCACAGCCCGGAGTTGTGAGCCCGGCCCTGGAGCCCCGGGCTGGGGGCCTGGTGTGGGGCTGGGACCCCTCCCTCCTCCGGGAAGCCTCCTCTGCCGAGATTCCCTCCTGGGTTTAACCTGCAGCACCAGTGTGGGCCCGACCCGCCCTCGTCTCCGCCCCTCCTACCACTCTCGGTGCTTCTTCAGTTCCCTGGTTGTAGGGCTTCTGTTCAGCTAGATTTCAGGAGGCTCCGAGTGATGGCTGTTCTGTATTTTAGTTGTGATTTTGATGTGGTTGTGGTAGGCTGCAGGTACAGCTGTTACCTACTGCGCCACCTTGTTTCTCTCTCTCTCCCTCAATGTTTTAAACAGGAACTTTTTCCTGGCTGAGTACCCAGGGAGTTATACTCCAGGAGACTGGTAGTGACAAAACGATGCCCATGTATGAAGAACAGTGTGCTGGGCCTGAAGTCCTGGTTCTGATTAACCTAGAGGCTCACATGGGTCCCCACGTGTCCAGCTGCCTGGTTAATAAGCCATCGGTTCCCTGTTTAAGTTAGTTAGAATTGCCTTCAGTAGATTGCAACCAGAGACTCCTAATGACTTTGTAGCCCCACATAATCAATACAATAGAAAATGCAACAAATCCTACCTGGGGCGCTTTAGTGAGGAGAAGAGCAACTTCCGGATTATTGTGGTAGCGGGCAGTCTCCAGCGGGGTCCGGCCTGCCTGAGGAATGGTACAGGGGGGGACAAGTGAGTACTGGTCACCAACCCCGCACATGCAGCCCAGCGGGGACAGCGACCCTTCACCCTGTCCCACCAGCACTGACATGTGCTCAACAAAACACATAAAGGATGTGGCCCTGCTCTTGAGCCTCCTCCCAACAAGGGAGCCAAGTTCCACCTGAGGACACAGCGAGAGAGGTTAAGTGCTGACCGAGTGAGCAGTAAGTGCTCCAAGAGGCAAAGGTCAGGGGCACTGCCCACCAGGGAATGCTTTCTGGAAAAGAGATGAGGAAAGGTAAAAATCAGACGGGTCAAGGTAGAAGATTTCAGTTGAGGAAACTCGAAGAATCATAAAATGCAGCCAAGCAATGATATTTCCCTGGAGAACAGGGGAGAAGACAACTGGAAGAGCAGATGAGGGCCCAGCCAGAGTCCAGGAACTGGATTGTAAAAACCAATTGGGAAGCTATGGCCATAATGGAAGCTCTAGGGAGGTTAAGCCATGAGTTAATAACAGCAGGAGTCAAAGGATGGGAAAGGTGTTCCAGGCATCATGGGGGAGGTACCATACGGCACCACCCAATACAGGTACTAGAGCTGTGAGAAAGGGGGAAACTTAGATATAGGAGCCTTCACCAGCTTCAACACCCTGTACTCCCCAGACACTCATACAACTATTCCATCCCCTCTGAGTCTGTGATATTTCAGGAGGGCAGAGACCACAGAGCTGCCTTGAAAAATAGGTGCCTGAGCTGGTGGCAGCTATAGGACCTGGGAGAAAGAGGACGGGGGTAGATACTGGGACAGAAGGTAGGAGTGAGGCGACTTTGGAGAGAAAGGTAGTTGAAAGTTTTGAGGATGATTAATCTGATGACCATGTGGCCATTTTCTTGAGAACCACATCTGTATACAGTAACATCCACTTGCTAGATTACTTAGACATCCTGACCTTTTCATGCCAGGGTGGGCTCACTTCAGCCAAGAATCTAGAGATGAAGCCCTCAGGGCTTGTCAACTCATGGGGATGCTAAGCACAATGGTCTCCTCAAGTCCACCCTCTCCTCAAGTCCACCCGAGGGCCCCAGGGGTTACTTTTCAGAGCCCCACACTCTTCCAGAGTGAGGCTGGAGGCAAGGTAGCAACCACATGCCCATTCTGCAAAGGGGTGGAAAGGGCTTTAGAAATCACTGCTGCAACTCAACTTACATTATTAACAATGGTCCCATCTGCTCCAGCTTCCAGTAAGATTTTAACCACCTTCTTGTGATTTAGGGAAGCAGCAATGTGAAGTGCTGTGTCTCCAGCCTGAAATTAACCAGAAGAAAGCCTGCTAAACCCCATCTGATCGTGGTGATCGTGGCCCACAGCCCTCCAGCTTTTCATCCCATGGCCTGCTGGTGGCTTTTCAAAGTCAACCTAGGATTTGCTGAAGACTAATGGAGGGCTCTTCGATCAAGTGTTATGTGGTTCATTCTAAAGATCATGGAACTAAATGAGCTATGCACAAATATCACATTCATTTCTGACAGGACATCAGAAATCACAGGATTAAGTGCAGGGGGAAAAATCATGCTGGGCTGGGGTTGTTGAGAATGGTCAGACCTGGATCCTACACTGAGGCAGGAAAGTGGCAGGTAGCCAATGGCCGGAAGGTGGGCCATCCTGGAGCTCTGGACCATGTCCCACTGCCCAGGCAGGGGAGGGGCAGAGAACCCTTGGTTTCTGAGTGCTAGAATGAGCAGACTCTGCAAAGATGGCTACTTGTACAAGCGCCTACAGGGACATGCAGGGGCAACTGGGAATCACTCTGCAGGCTCTCAGTGCTCTTTACTCGGGGGAGTGACTGAGAATCAGAGTTCTCTTAACACCAGCTATTTCCAATCTCTTACCAAATGGCCTATAATTTTTCATGTTTTCTTTATACAAAAAAGTGTTTTCAGACAATCAAGTATGGAAGGAGGATTTGGACAAATGCAGCTTGGTGAGCCAATTCCAAATGCAGATGCTGTTTTTTTCCTTCCAAACAGAATGATATAAATAAGTCAGGCAAATATGGGAGAAGTGTGTTAATTCACTCTCCACCATCAGGTGACCAGGTAAAGCACTGATACTTTTTTCCTGACAGCACAAAAATTTAGTTGTCCCCATGGCCCTCTTCCCCAGTGAGTACGGGGCTGGGGGGGAAACGTTATTTCATTGCTGAGTCATATAGTTGTGCATTGGGGGTGGGGAGCTGTGTAGCCATGGTTTCTGATCTTGGCTGCAAATTGGAATCAGGTGAGGAGCTTTAAAAACAACTGATGCCTGGGTCGCACCCAGACATTCTGACATAATTGGTCTGGGGGGTGGACGAGGCATGGTGATTTTTCAAAGCTCCCAGGCGACTGAAACATGCCACCAGAGTTGAGAAGTATTGGTTAGTGGGAGCTGTGTAGGGTAATCTGATGAACTAGAATCCACTGGGAGGCTGCAGAATGACAATTTAGCTATTTAGCCAGGTCATGGTTCTCAATCCTATCTGCACACTCAGGCCAGGAGCTGTTTAAAAATCCCATTACCTGGATATGCTGGACATTTAAACTGGGGTGGCATTCAAGTATGGTATTTTTAATTCCCTATTGATTCTTATGTGCAATCAGAGTTAGAAAGCACCATTATAGGCTATAATCTGAATAACCAGCTATTTTTAAATTTCAGATATATGCACTCAAGCTCAGAAAAGCCAAACAATGCATAGTTTAGGTATCAATAAATATCAAGACAACATTTTTAAAAAATCTAAATGACTACTGAAAGTCAAGCACATTTCCATGGAACACTGTAATAATCACAGCTTTATTTCAAACCCCCGATTTTACAGAAACCAGAGTCTCCATCAGCTCAAATAAAGTGGCAGTGCAAGGAACAGAACTCCAGTTGTGGGATGCCTCGCCTCCTTCCCTTGCTTATTTACTAAGCCACGTTATTGTGGGTTTTCTTTGTAAAATCACATTAAAAACAAAACCCTGTCCAGGATCTCCAGATAATGTTCAATATGCAGATGTGGTGGTAGGCACTGGAATGATAAGGGCAGGCTCTCTCACGGAGGCCGGATAAACCAGGGCCATAGGAACTCAGTGGGACACCCATGTGAAGGCCAGCACTGGCCGAGTCCCAAGCAGAGAGGAGGCTCCTAGCAGCCTCTGCTCCCATCTGGGCTAACACACCTGCCTATCAGCCTTGTGGGAAAGGGGGCCCGGCAGCCATAGGGAGGACACATGCACTGACCTGGTTCTTTTCATGGACAGAACAGAAAGCACTGAGGAGGAGCTTAATGATGGACAAGTGATTATAGCGAGCGGCAACGTGCAGACAGGTGTCGCCTGCCTGCGGACAGAAATCAAACTCTAAGCACAGTCTGAGCGGTTACAAAACAAAACAGAGAAAGTAAAAAGAAAATATCATTTAAAAGCTGGCAGACTAGTATACATTCTTTAGAGGGTGTCAGCCTGAATTCTAAGCATCTCTTGCACAGTAGATGTCCATTCCCAGACTCCCAGCCCTTTGCTGCTGTCTGCAGCCCTGATTTTCCTCCATGGAGATTTTCTGCTTTCAAGTTTCATACCTGGATGCCTGCTGCCCAAGAGACCTTCTCAATAGCGAAGGCAGGTTCTGCTTGCCCAGCACTTGATGAGAATCCACTGACCCCCATTCTCTCCTATAACCCACAGACTCAGGAGTACACTGAATTAAGACCAAGAGCACTGCCTTGGAAATGAGCCCATCCCTTCATAGGTCTTTCATAGCCCTAAGGACAGGGCAGGAGGGCAAGTTAGTGAATTTTAAGATCACATGTTCTTAAAAATTCAAGTTGCATCCCATTTTAGTCAGACCCTAATATGGAGCAATGTAGTCTGGGGAGTTGGCAGTCAGAAAAACTCAGGGTCAGGGTCATCCTTAGTGGTCACAGGTCAAACTGCCCCCAGACAGACAACAAAATTGGAGACAAAGTCATGACATTCTGCAGTGTTCTCCTAGCATTCCTATTCTAGCTCTGTCTAGAGATGCTGACCACTCAGCATTACTTTCTCCCTAGACTAGGAAGGAGACAAGCTCAAAGCTTAGGTGCAGGGCATTCTGAGCATCACCTGAGGTGAGTCTTTCCCCAATCAGGGAGACCCAGATAAGGCCATTTCTTAAAGAGACGCCTCAAATTCCCTAGTCGAGTGGATGGGGCATGGGACTTAGAAAGGAAACACAATTTCTTGTGGAAAGGAGGGACACCAAGGTGACCTCTTAGGTCAGGGATCCTCTCAGAACTATCAGCTCAGAGCCATCAGCTCATTCCAAGGGTGCCTCAGTAACGGATTTGTGGGCACTGGGCATGAACCATCAGAAGACCTCCCCGGCTCGCATCACCCAGTATTTGCTAACAGGACAACACTGTGGCAGAAACCTTCTTAAGACACTAAGAGGCTTCCTAGATTCATTCACCAACACGCTGTAGAAAATGACACAACAAATCAAGGCTGAGGAGCGAGGGGGAAAAGACGGGAGAAAAGCAGTTTCCAGGTCTCTTCATTCCTCTTCTCACGCTCCTAAACGACCCCTTAGGAAATCAGCAAAAAATAAATACTCTATAGATAGTCCCCAAACACTTTACACTTTTACTTTCTAGATGTTAACACACAAATAGGCTTTCAGGGTTATTTTCCAAGATGACACAAGAGAGCATGGCAGAAGCCGGTTTTGTTCACCCACGTTATTTTTGAGGTCGGCGCGGGACCCGCCCAGCAGGAGGACGCGTGTGCTCTGGGAGTGGCTGTTCTGGCAGGCCAGGTGCAGGGCCGTGTTCCCCGCCTTGGAGAGAGGCAAGAGAAGGGAGGACACGTTAGCAACTCGGTGCCCCTCAGGCGTGCACGGAGCAGACCTTGCAGAGGCAGATACAGAAAAAAAGTCAAAGTGCACGCTCTCTGCTCCCTAATCGGCGGACCCAGAAGGGGTTTCAGAGGCAATAGCTTTTCATTAGGAGTTCAAACAGGCAAGGAGCACATCTGTCATAAAACCTTGATTCCAAGTCCTGGCTCAACCCCTTACTAGTTGAAAGTCACTGGTCAAGGCTCTTCTGATTCTCAGCCTTGAATTCCTTACCTGTAAAATGGAGCGTGGCCCCTATTATGCAGAGGCTGTGAGGATCAACTCAGGGCCTAGCAGGGCATTTCCTTAATGGAAAATGCTGTGCGCATGCATGCGTTATATTCCTCTTAGAGACGACTGCATCGTTCCTGCCCAACACAGATAAAAGCCTTGGCTACAACACTCTACCAATGAAGTAAGAGGGCAAAACAGGCCACCTCCTGTGTGTAGGCTAAAGGTACCTAAGACTATACTGTAATATTTTTCAAATCGTCCATTCTTATATTTTTCTTGAAACAACATTTGAACTATGGAAAAGATCCCCAGGTAATAGGCAATACAGTGGTGCCTGTCACTTAGCAAACAGAGACTCTCTACCTTCAACATGTCCCATGGTGGGAGCCCAGGGTGGGAATAACGCTCACAGCAATCTGGCAAGAAGAATTCATAAACAGAACTTTGTGAGACTACAGGAATAGGGCCTGCAAGGCTGCTGCTAACCCCCAGAAAAGTAACAAAAAAGCAGGCAGCATGAGAGGAGATTTGGGGTTGGTCTGAGCAAGCCTGCGAGCACTCAGGAGGTTAAAGACAATGTTTGTTTCACTGAGTTTAAAAGCCCGGTAAGGACTGCAGTTGTGTGGGCTGAGCTATTACACTGCCTGCTGATGGCTCTTCCCTCACCTAGTTTACTGCTTCTGGACCACACTGCACTGTCAGCCTGTACTCAAGGATGTTATTTCCTCACCTTTTGAAAAGAGAAATGAGTTATAAGAAAAAAAAATAAAGGAGAACTGTCTGTTGCCAGTCACTTACCTTCCCTCCCATAACTTTAGCTCTAACCAGCCTGATACAGTCTTTCTTCCTCACAGCTGCCTCCAGGAAACTGTAGGAGTTGCAAGCCTGAGGTTTTAGCGAGTGCAACGGCTATCAACCCTTTGCTGCCCATATAATCACCTGGGGGAGCCTTTAAAACTATCCCTGCACAGCTGCAGCACTTCTAGGGACTCAGATTTACTTAGCCTGGGGGGTGGAGCCTGGGCTGCTCAGGTTTTAGCACTGCAAATCAAGCATTTAGGGAAACCCCTCAAGGTAGTGACTAGGGCAGCTGGTCACCCCAGGCCTAGCCATCAGGGTAGATTTGTTTTGTGTGGGGGTTTTTCCCTTTTTTTGTTTAAAGTTTCCCAGGAGATTTTAAAGTGCAGCCAGGAAGAGAAACACTGCTAGCTTAGGTCTCAAAAACGAGACTTGCCCATGTGGGCTCTGCCCATGTTTTAAACACTCCATTTCCTGCGAAGGTGCTCAGTGCTTGGCTTGATGTGATTCCCATTGCCCATGTAGGAGGTTGCCTCAATGTTGTTGGTTTCCCAAGTCATTAAATATGTGTTGAATAAATGAGTGAGATAAAAAAATGTGATGGTTCTTGCCTGGCTGCTGTGGCTCAGTGGACTGAGCATCATCCCATGCACCACGAGGTCACAGGTTTGACTCCTGGTCAGGGCACGTGCCCTGGCTGAGGGGTTGATCTCCATTAAGGGGAGTGCAGGAGGCAGCTGAGCTATGTTTCTCATTGATGTTTCTCTCTCTCTCCTTCTCCCTTCCTCTCTCTCTAAAATCAATAAAAACATTTTTTTTTAAAATGTGATGGTTCTAGAAATACATCATACCAAAATTTACTTTGCCAGTAAGAAAATATCAATTATACTGAAAAGCATTTGGATCAAGAAAATGAAATACAGGTAAGCATAAACAAAATATGGTACATTCATACAATGGAATATTACTCAGCAATCAAAATGAATAAACTAATCACCCATGTAACACCACGGAAGAGTCTTAAAAACATTATGCTAAGTGATAGAAGCCAGACACAAAAAGACTACATATCATGATTCCATTTAGATAACGTTCTGGGAAAGGTGAACATATCCGTGGTTGCCAGGAGCTGGGAGTGGGTGGGTGAATGGGGGACTGCCACCAAAGGGCACAAAGAAACTTGTTGGGGTGATGAAAACATTCTCTATCTTGATTGTGGTGGTGACTACACAATTGTATACATTTGTCAAAATTCATAGGACAGTATTCCTAAGAAAGATGAACTTTACTGTATATGAATTATACCTCAAAACCTACTATTAAAAAAACGAGACCTAGGCAGACATACTAACAGACATTTTTCCTACCCTAAGTAATAAGCACAAATTTCCCAGACAAGGCTGCTAAGCTTGCTGAGTCAGAAGTACATATCTTATACAATGAAATATTATTCAGTCTTTAAAAAGAAAAATCCTGTCACTTGCGACAACATGGATGAACTGGAGAACATCATGCTAAGTGAAGTAAGCCAGACGGGAAAAGACAAACACTACATGGTATCGCTTCTGGGTAGAATTTAAAAAGGAAAAGTCAACCTCAGAGGAACAAGGAGTAGAAAAGTGGTTTCCAGGGGCAGGGGAATAGGGTGATGTTGGTAAAAGGTACAAACCTTTAGTTACAAGATAAACAAGGTCTGCGGATCTAACGTAGAACGCGGTGACTATGATTGGTAACACTATCATATAACTGCAATTTACTAAGTGGGATTTAAGTGCTCCCACTAAATAAATAAATAAGTAAATGTAAATATGTGAAATGATGGATGTTTATTAAATCTGATGGGGGGAATCCTTTTACAAGGTATACACGTTAAGTATGTTAAAATTTTATTTGTCAGTTATACCTCAATAAAGCCGGGGACAGGGGGAGGTTGGGGGAGAAGAGCCTTTCTAGAGGTTTCCCCAGAGGCTGTGGCTGGTGCAGAAGGTACAAGTCCCTCCTTTAGAATGGCCCTTCACCTGTGCCAACAGTCTCTACTGTTTTACCTGGAGCAAGAACTCGTGGCTTTCCACAATGATTCTGGGGCCCTGCATAGGATAGGAGGCAGTGTGGCAGAGCAGACAGGCCTGGGCTAGGTTACAAACGAATCCTGTGTTTTAGTTGAGGACCATACTGGCTCTGGCTTAGGCTTCCCTGTCCATTAACTGGAAACCAGCTACTTCTCAGAGTTGGTATAAACTTACCAACTCATGTTTCAGACCAGGTACCAGTTCGGAGAAATGGAGCAGCCATGCAGCGAGCTGGGCATTACTGGAGACATGACAGTATATGGCTTGCTTCTTTCCCCCAAGCTTTTGACTCAAGAGGGAGCCATGAGAAACATTTAGCCAGTAAGGACAGCACAAAGCTGTGTACAGTGTCCAGGGAGCACTGCAGGAAACAGCCCCATGGGAGGTTAAGGGTAACCTGTCCTGGGGGAATGGGTTGGAGGTCTACAGGCAGAAGTGAGGAGCAGACTACCCTATAGGAGTGGGCAGCCAAAGGGGACAGTGAGCCCAAGCTGACAGCACAGGAAGCACATGCTGGGAAAGGCACAGGGCAGAGGCTCCGGATATGGGCTGAGGCCACTCTGGGGAGGAGCATCAGGCTGAGCAGCTTTCCTGAAAGGCTTCCAAGCAGGATGGAGAAGGGATGAGGCCAGCTGGTCAATCTGCTGTGAGGCTGCTGAAATCCAGGGACACATCAATAACGAGCATGGAAGGAGAGGGATCGATGTGAAAAGGTGAGACGTGACGAGTGACTGGAGAGGGGAGACAGAAAAAGAGGAAGAAATGCTACTGTCCTTTCTCTGTCTCCGTGAGGACAGCCACTCTAATAAACCAATGGCAAAGCAGGGAGAGCCAGGAGGGTTCCCAGGGGGTTCTCTCGCTCACCACGGGGCCGAGAGCGTCCGCTTCCCGCCGGCTCTGCGTGCTCCCCGAGCCCTCTGCTCCGGGCCAGGGAGCTCGCCACCATCCTCACCCGTGAGTGAGCTCTAACACCTGCGGGCCTCACCTTGTTCTTGGCAAGCACGTTGGCTCCTGCTTTAACGAGCAGCTTGACTGACTGGCTGAACCCATGCCAGGACGCCTCGTGCAGGGCTGTATTCCCGTCCTGGGGAACACACAAAGAGAAAGCACATTACCCATGGCCTCACTCACCTCGTTAAAATCAATACACCAGAGTGCGTTTTTAGGGCACCCCACAGGGCTTTTCTCCACTGGGGTTACTCATCTGAATCACAGAACACAGAAAATGACTTGAGTGGCCAGTTTCTCCCAGAAATGGTACATAACAAGTACCATTCTAGATGCATCCTAGACTCATGATGTACAATGATGCCTTAGGGGTCAGGGCTTAAGTCTCTGTGGAAGCCAGTTTGAGAAAGGCCCAGTCTAGTTTAACAAAAAGCAACATCAGAATGAATAATGTCCATTCCTTCCCATCTCCATCACCCCTTGGGCTCTGCTCTGCTCCTGGCCCCAGAGAACACCCTGCAAAGATAGGGCCAATAGAGAGTCCAGCTTCATTAATTCCAGGGCCCAAGAATCAGATAGGTAGATCCCCCCACCTCCTTTTCCTTCCCCAAATTTTAATCTCACCTAGCTTAATCCAAAAGCCTTAAGGAGCCCAAAGAAATGAGAAGGCACTCAGAAAACAGTGATTTGTAAATAAGATAAGTGTCCTCATATGTGGCTTTTAAACAAAAATCAACCAATTAAAGATAGCTTGTATTTGCTTAACATAAAAAAATATATTAAGTGCAATGAATTGAGTAGGGTGGGGCATAGAGGGTCAGGGTTTGGGGGAGGGGGAAGCAGGGAGAGGAGAGGCAGAAATATCCTCCATGCTATTCCAGGCCAGGGCACAGAGCGTCAGTTGGGGGCTGTGCAGGTGCATCTCCAACCACGTCCAGGGTCTGATTTAGACTTGAATTCAACCACACCAGCAGACAAGGCCTAATGCTGCTGACACTCACAAGGGGGAGGCTAGGGTTTCATAGCCCACTGTACCAGAGGCCAGGGAGTGGGGCCTGCTGGAAATGGAAGTGACAATGTGTGGCCAGCCCGGTGGGACTGACTGCACGAAGCAGAAACCAAAAGAAAAAGCAACTGGAAGGGGGCACAGGGCTGCTGGTGACAATCTGCTTCGAGACCTGAGCTGCACTTATTATTTGTGCACTTTCTGTATATATACTTGAATAAAAAGTTTAAATAAGTAAACAGGCTGAATTGCAAAGTTCCATGTTTTAAGCTTGCTTGACAATTTAAGAACACCGGATTAACATTTGTCATTGGGATTTCTTTAAAAACTGATTTTGCTTATTTTTTCTTCCAATATAATTTTAAAAATTAACTAGCTCACTTATTAAAAAAATAAAGTCAGGGGAGGCAGGCCGGTGCCTCTTCCCACCTAGGCCTCCACGTGTCATTACTTCTAGACTTTTTTTAAAAAAATATACCTTTATTGATTTCAGAGAGAGGAAGGGAGAAGGAGAGAGAGATAGAAACATCAATGATGAGAGAGTCACTGATCAGCTGCCTCCTTCATGCCCCCTGCTGGGGATCAGCCCCGAACCCGGGCATGTGCCCTGACTAGGAATCAAACCTTGATATGTCAATGCTCAACCACTGAGCCACACCAGCCAGGCTAGACTTTTGGCTTTTTTTGGTACCATGTATGTTTATGTGGTTGCCCACTGCTGCCACAGAACATGGAGAAGAATATATATTTGAGCTCTGGCCAGTGTGGCTCAGTTGGTTGGTTGGGCATTGTCCCATGAACTGAAAGGTTGCTGGTTAGATTCCCAGTCAGGGCACTGGCCCAAGTTTCAGGGTCAATCCCTGGTGAGGGGAGTGCTAGAGGCAGCTGATTGATGTTTCTCTCTCTCTCTCTCCCTAAAAATCAATTAAAAAATCTTTTAAAATAAGTAAAAATTTTAAAAAATTATTGGGATATCAGGTATTCTTTCTAAGTAAATTTGGGCTAATTTTATCATATTAAATCATGAGTGATAAGACTCTGGAATGATAACATCTTGCACGTGGGTCCTGGGACTGACATGTCCCCTCACCTTGTCTTGTCGGTCCAGGGCACAGCCCTCCTGGATGAGTGCCGAGATGACCTCAGTGTTCCCCACCACTGCGGCACGATGCAAAGCAGTCTGATCCCCCTGCAGAATGATGTGGAGGCAGGAACAGGCGTCAGCTCTCCCCACCACCCGAGCCACTCAACTCCCTCACTCCGACACAGGACAAGACACCTCCCATACAAAGCAGACTGGTCACCACTAGGGCAAGGTGGGCTTTGCGGTCTGGTTAGTAGACAACACACGCCAGGCAGAGAAGTTTTGTTCAGTGGGAACCTTAAACCAACCGCAGAGCAGTCCTTGGCTGCAGAGTTGACCTCAGGATGGAGGTCAAGCCCTCACCTGCTGCCTGGGGGATGGCAGTGTTCAGCTGGAGTGTGGCTGTCACACCTGTGAAGAGCGGGTCTGAGAGGAGAGCTGTGTGTACTATGCAATTATAGCAGCAATGCCTGGCATCTTTACTCCCTACTGAGTCCTAGTTCCCTGCTTTCAGAGAAATCACGATCCAGCCATGTCAGGGAGCAGCACTCATGATTTGATGGCGAGTGTATATTTGTTGACTGACTTATACCAGCCAAGAGCAATGTAGGAGTTTATGCTGTGTCATCAGAGGATTCCAGGGATGGAAAGCCATCACTCACATCTCTAAGAAGCTTTTCTGATATTTCATGACAACACCCTCACTGACTTATGCTGCACTTGACCCCTTTCTCTGTGATCGAATTCCTGGAATTGCAGACCCTCTCTTTCTCCATCGGGGTGCCAAGGGGAGCTTGACTCTTTTCCCTAATTGCAGTTAATAAAAGGACCAAGTTGAGACTAGTCGAGTCCAACCTGGGCTCTAGGTTTAAATATGGGGGGGGGGAGTGATCAGCATGAAAATTTTGCTTTACCTGTAAAAGGAGGGTGGGATGATCCTCAAGGTCCCTCCCTTCCCTTTGGTTGGTAAGAGTTTTGCATAAATGAAGTTTCCTAACACAGAACCAGAGGGGCAATAACATACCCTGGGGCATCCTTGGTCCTTAGCCCAAGAGAGGAAAGAGAGACTAATATAAAACAGAAAACATGAAGATTTTTCAAAGAGAAATGCACCACTACATATAAATAACCCTAATGAAATTCTGATTCCACTTACTAAACTCCCTGGAATTTAAAACAACAATGCACTTTAAAAGCACTAAACTGGAGGGAAAAAAGTTCTGGACATGGATGGTGGTGATGGCTGCACAACACTGTGAATGTACTTAATGCCACTGAGCTGTACGGTTAAAATGGTAAATTTTATGTTCCGTACATTTTATCACAATAAAAAAGTATTTAATGCTATTTAAAACTCAAATTCACCTTCTTAAAATTGAAAATTTCCCTTAAAACTCCATGAAAAGTGATTTTTATTTTCTTCCTTATACTTCTTAATACCTTCCAACTTTTTGTATTTAACACTTAATTTTTAGAATCAGGAAAAACTGCTGTTTATTAAAAGTCTAAGCTATAACAACATACCAGTAATGGGCTGTGTCGCAGAATCTTTTCTCACTGCTCATTCACAGAACTTAAGGGATTTCTGCAGTGAGGGTTCCAGCCCCGTTGCCAGACTTCATCCACTGTCCACAGATCTCTATCACCAACCCTGCCCTCAGCATCCTAGGCTATTATTCCCATTGTAAATTAAGTGTAGACTTGGTTTTCCCCACTTTCCCAGGCCCCTTGTTCAGACAACTCCTTCTATAAGGCATACAGGCAAAAGAAGAACATGACCACTGGGTCAACGCTGCAGGTGTGCTGAGCCCCTTCCCATCCATTTCAGACATCTTAAGAAGTGTTTCCAGATGAGGCATATTTAATGCCCAAACAAGTAATCATGAAAAACTGCCCATGTCTTAATTTTTTTAAGTTTCTAGAAGAATTCCCAAGACTGCCCATTTCCCTATCAGAATGGTGATGGATTTGCCCAAAATGGGCCTCAAGTGCAATCCGTTATTACTGATCCAATCTGGCACTGTGTTCTCAGCCAGGAAGGTGAAGCTGAGGCTCACTCTTTCACGGTAAAGACTGACTTGGCCAGATTACTAATGGTTAGAGGCCTTTTCATATTCCCATAAACTGAGGGCACTTTAAGTAGCACTCCTTGGACCAACCAGAACCACCTTTTTACACAAGGAAACTTAGCCACTCTGTCCATGTTGTGCATAAAGTGTGAGCAAAAAGCCCTGGACACGGGTCATGTCAGCCTCTCCTGCTGCACAAGTCATCGTACAAAGGGCCCCTGCTGATTAGGGCACAGTCTCCCTTAAGAATTGCTTTTGGTCAAATGTTTTATTGTGTTTCACAAGCTGCTACTAAATCATGAATTGAGGCAGTTCGGAGCAGAATGTCACCATTATTTATTACTTGCTTTTGGCATGAATCTACTGTATTTACTTTCCTTTGTGAAAGTCTAGCTCAATGGTGAGAAACTAAATCTAACTTTTAGTTCAGCCCTTAGGAGTCAATTTCCAAATGGAAAGACTCACAGAGATCTACGAACTGTGTGAGGCTGTAGGGAGAACACACACTGTCCTCAACCAAATGGCACAGGTGTTTCCTCCAACTCCCTTTCTTCTTGGGAGGCCTCTGAGCCTCAGCCCGTCTCCAGGCTGTAGCCCCACTCCATCTTTACTCCCCTCAGACAGAGCCTTCCCTCAGAGCCACGTCCTTGCCTCATTGGTCCATAAACTCTGGTGAAGGCCAACGTCAACTGTTCCCCACCATAACTGGCTGTCCTTTAGCTGCACCATGAGCTTTGTTAACACTAGATGGGGTGGTTTTGGGGACTGAGGGAGACACCTTCTCTGGTGTATAAAATCCAGCCACCCCTAAATTACCAAGATGAGAAATAAAGGCTCTGAGAGACATGAAAGACACAAGCAAAGAGCTGTCTCATGCTGTCTATCTCAGAGCTTCTCTTCCCCAGAACACCACACAAACAATCGAACCTCAGTTGGAACAGGGTCAATTACCTACAAATCCACTGTTCCTTCTATAAAACAAAAATTTACTGTTGAAATATTTCATTTTTGAAATAGGACACAGAAAAGAACAGAATGCATCCTCAATACAAACTTATTAATGACCCAAGAAGCAACTGTGACATAATTCTTATTTCTATATGATTTAAACATGAAACTCTGAAACTTTGGGGACTTTTTAAAAAAAAGCTGGACCTCCCTTTCTCTGAAATCAATAAAGATATATTTTTTTAAAAAGTTTAAAAAGCTGGGAAAAGTATAGCACTCTCAACAGCATTTACTCATTGTTTATTCAGTGAATACTTATTGACCCACTACTGTGCTCCAAGTACAGTGGCATCTAATTCCCTCATTTTATTGATAAAAACAAAAACAAGACTCAGTGCAGGTCAGTGCCTAGCCTAGGATAACCAGCTAATTCGGGTAGCATGGTTGGGCCAGAATTCAAATTGTCAAGGCTCTTTGCACTGACTCCCACCTGTTTCTAACCCGTGAAGCCAATTAACCTTAGGGCGGGTCTTTAAAATATCAGGTACCTCTGTGGGGTTGATGCCTTTATGGCATCATCAAGCTAAGTGCTTCAGCACAGTGCCATGGCCACTATAGGTGCTCAAGAAGTATTTGTTGAATGATTAACTACAAAGAAGCAGAAGGGAAAATGCTGCAGCTGGAAAGCTGTTGAAGAGCCAGCAACCCTGAAGTTTGGCACTTTCATTTGGAACATGTTGACCTGTTTGTAAAGTACATGAACTGCCAGCTCTCAATTTTTCTGACATCCATGTTCCTTACTTGGGGATTTTTAAGAGGTTTGGAAGCTCTGAGGTCTAAACCTTTGTTCTGAAATATTTTTAGTATTCTCTCCTACATGGTGAAAAAGAGTGAGCAGATTCCAAAGCTAAGCTCATGGAAGAAACCCCAGTCATGCAAGGGTGGAACATGCCCCTTTTCAGGAGGAATCCCTCCCAGGTGACACAGGCAGACATGTTGCAAGGAAGCTCAAGACAGGCTAGGTGCGCAAAGCAAGTTGCTGACCTCTTTTTCTCTCTCTGATCTTCGAAGGTTCTTCCTAGCCTTTCTTCTGTGGTTTTTCTTATTTTTTTCTTCCTTCATGCCTTTTACCGTGGCCACAAGGTCCTGGACTATTTCTGAGGTGGGGGCTGTATGATTGCTCAATGACCAATCAGAGATGGCGTTAGAGCTCCAATGAGAGTTGACAGGATTGACAGGAAGCAAGAGGGAATTTGCTCCTGCGGTTGCATATTCTAAAGAACTGGTTTCCACAGGTTCAAATTCATAATAATCCCACTCCAGGCCACTGGAGGTCATTCTTCAACTAGTTCTCAGTCTTTACCATGACATAAAGAACAGTATCTGCAGAATATGAAGTTAGGGGTAAATGCTTCATAACATTAACATTCCCTATTTCTACTCATCATCTGAGACAACGTCTTAGGTAACAGGTAACTTCTAAAAGGATTTTTTCAATAATGAATCTCCCAGCTTCTTTAAAGGGCACCCAAAAAGAGTTTTCTTCCTCAAATTCTTGCATAAGTTTCAAGGCTGACCATCAACAAGCACAGCAAATACACGGAAGACAGACATGAGTCACAATCTGGTAGATGCACTACTTCAGAACTAGTGAAGATCCACTCCACCTTCTCCATTCTCACCTGCTTTTACAGTTTTGTTGTTGTGTTCTTATATTGTTTTGTATTGATTTAAGTTATCTGAGAGAAGCAATGTATGGACTGTCCTGTTTAAGTGGAAAAGATGAAAGAAAATAAATACTAATTCCAAAGAATGAAAGAGGGTGTTCCTGTTGAAAGTAGAGCTGGCTTTTCCTTCTGCTGACATGGCTATGTTGACATGGCTCCCCTTGGCTACCTTGTAAGAACTCCTTCCTGTTTTACTTCTTATCTTGTCTGATATAAACAGCAGAAGTTCTAGGAAGTTAGCATGGCTTTTGCTGCATTAGATCTCAGGCAGGAGTGTTGGGTTGGGATAGGTTAGCATGCCTGGCATTGCACCCCTGCCACTGTGGTAAGCAAGGGCTTTAATTATCCAAAGAGAAGACCAGCTGCATCCCAAGATGTGTGCACCAGCAACTCCAAGGCCTGCCTTTTCTGTGGTCAGAATCTATTCTCTCTCCTGGTATTTTTGCTGTCATCTAAGGATATGATATAATAATGAACATAATGATGGCTACAGTATGAGAAAATAAAAAAGTACTATGATTCAAGGTGGAAGTCAACAGCTTAAAGCTAAATTGGTGTCTTTTGAAAATAACGCTCTTGATGACTTAAGAGGTTCCAAATACAGCCAGAGATTTATGAATGACACTGGACAGCCTTCTGCCCATCATATTTAGTTATTTCTTTGCAAATGCTGTCCTCACTTGTGTGTTGGCCAAGTCTTAGAACATTACTCAGAGACCCAAAGAAACCTAGGAGCACTTTGGTAATGCACACCTAGCATACCTGGGAATCTGAAATCTGATAATACTCTGTAAACATGGTTATTAAAGGTGACTCTGGAAGAGGTTATAAGTGCAAACTCTCCAAGATTCTGTGTTCCTCACAAAAGTGCTTATTCCTTAGAGTCCTACTACACAAACTAGAATTAGAAACTGAAACTAGAGTTAGAAATGGTTTCCAATCACATTACCATAGAGCTTTTTCCTAATAGTTAATTGGAGAAAATTTACATAATTGTTTCTATCCCCTTCTTAGAGAAGCCACATTTCCCAAAGATCCACTAGGGCACCCAAGTCCTATGTGCCCCACCCATTGCTGCTTGGCTCAGGAATGCATACTTGACCCTAAAGGAGCCAACTGGAGTCTCTCTCTAGATAATCTGAATGAAAAGACTCAGAGGCTGAGTCTTGATATAGCACCAGAGTGAACTCTTTCTGGAGGCCTCCCTTTTCTTGGGTTCCATGAGATCAATTTTTTTTCTTTGAATAGGTTGTTTTAAACTAAATGCACACCAACTAAGAGAAATCAAGGTGAGAAAAGGAATAAAATTAAGTTCTTAAGCCCCACCTTTTCTCCAACGGTAAGCCTTGTCAGTTACACACATTTCCAGCAGGCCTTGCCCATATGTACTCACTCGTGCGTGTGTGTGTCTATGTGTGGTGTGCTCCTTCACACTGAGACAAGACACAGATAAAATGCCCTTTGAGCTCTGCACTTGCACAATACTAGTAAGAAATGAACCCTGATGGGAAACTACCCCACATTCCCAAACTCTAACTTGCTACTAAGGACAGGTCCCAGAGTAGATCTTCAAGAGTAAGTTCTTCCCGCCATGGGGACACCGACGGAGATAAAAAGCACTGAAGATCATCTCCCCCATCCCACCTCACAGCTGGTTACACACTGTACTGTGGACTTCTAGGCAGACAAGCTCCTCTGACAACCCATCCCCTGATAGAATGGTGGCTTCTACTCACATCATCCTGAACATCGAGGTCGCAGCCGGCCTTCAGCAAGATCTGGACCACAGAAAGATGACCTTTATTGGCAGCAAGATGCAGGGGGGTCCGGCCATGCTGTAGATGCAAAGCAAACACCGATTTCAAAACAGGACATCAAAATCACTCCCCTGGAACAGGTTGCATAGTGGCGTTTCTCCTTCCCCTTTGGGTTGGCAGAAGATTCCTATGGATTTTCCCAGAATTCAAGTTTGTCTCAGTTAACCTTGGCTACAGGCACTGTAATCAATGAACAAAATAGGTTCAAAATATGAAGATTTCCTTTAGTGCATAATCTCTACCCCCTACTCATTAACACAAGTAGGAAAATGAGAGGTTTCACACAGTCTTTTGTTTTCCCCAATGGTGCTAATTCCCAGAGATGATGAAGTGGCCAAAATGACCCTCATGGGGTGAGAACAGCAAAAAGTCAAGCTAATCAGCCCCAGGAAAATCTGGTTAGTAATTACTCAGAATTCAAACCACTGGACAAACTGATTAGAACAGGTTCTCCCCTTTTTAAAAAACAAATTTAAGATTACAAAATTATTTTAACCATTCAAAAAAATGAGTAATATTTTTATTTTTAAATATATATATCTTTTTTTATTTCAGAGAGAGGAAGGAAGAGAGAGAGAGAGAGAGAAATCAATGATGAAAGCGTCACTGATTGGCTGCCTCCTGCACACCCCCAACAGGGGATCGAGCCCACAACCCGGGCATGTGCTCTGACCAGGAATCAAACTGTGATCTCTTGGATCCTCGGTGGATGCTCAACCACTGAGCCATGCCCGGCCAGCTGAGCAATATTTTTAAATGTACATATCCACTAACCACTTTAAGAAAACATTAGGGAAACCACAGACCCCAGATCTCATTTCCTCTCCAATCCCAGAGGTAACCACTCTTAAATTTGTTATTCATCATTCCTTTGTCTTTTAAAAGATTTTACTATGTTTATAGCTATAAACAACACATAAACATTGTTTTGTTTGTTTTCAAACCTTATATAAATAGTATTAAACTGTACAATATTGTTTGGAAATTTCAGGGTCCAATATATTTTTGAGGTTTTTCATAATCTCACATGTATTCCAGTTCATATATTCATGGCTCAACCCAGTCTTCTAGTCACGGACATGCAGGTTGTTTCCAGTGGTTTGCAGAACACAACCATCTGCACATCTCCTTGTGCACTTGAGAAGGCTTCTCAGCCCTGCTGTTGCGTCACAGAGATGCCCACTCCCTTCACCTGTCCTGAGCATGCAGCTACTGAGGTATGACACTGAGGGTAACGCCCAGAATAACCCTCTTCGGTATAAATCAACTTCTATTCTAGAACCTTCCATGCCAAACTGAATTCTCCAAATGCTAAAGGAGAAATGTCCCCTTTGTTTCTTCCCTCAAGTTCACTGTGAAGAAACGTTTGCACCCCGTTTGAAGCATCCTTTCACCCCGCCCCAGCCACACTGAAACATACCAAAGGAATGAGTCTCCCTCGGCCTTAAGTCCTTTTCAGCACCTCCATAAAACTTCCCAAAGACCTTTATTGATATTCTAGCAGGATAAACCCATTTATTATTTCAACAAAGTGCCAGTTTGCCATAGGCAACTAGCTGTGGAGGAAAAGAGAGAGCAAACAATAAAAGATCTTAATTTCTACCCATGAAATGCAATCAAAGCACTAGAATGATTCTGGAAAGAAAGAGGTCAAAGCTCACTTTAAAATTAGAATTCTTAATTAAGAAAATGCTACTCCCAAGAAAGCAGGATATAAAAAGCCTTTATAAAAAAGCAGTGTCTGAGATGAGGAGCGACCGTCCTTGGTGACGGTTGTGCTCAGCGCCTGCTACTTAACCTTGATTCTTTCAATGAAATGGCCACAGCTGATTAGACAGAGCAACATGACTGGGTCCCACTCACGTGGCCTAGTCCCAGGTTCCATCTGTCATCTGTGTCCCTGTCAGGGATACAAGGCATTCTGGAACACAGGGAGTCATGACATGTGTGAGGAGAAAGATGTGTGTGCTGCAAGGAAGGCTAATGGGATGGTGGGACAAAAGTGCAACTGGAAAATACAGACCACAGTGGGGAGAAGCTGCCCAGAGAGAGGCTGGAAAAGAGGCCACAAGTCACTAGGTGCTGGGTCAGAGGAGCCCTGAGGAGCATCCTGGTCAGCAGCCAGATATTACTGGTGGCAAGCAAGGTCCAAGGAGGTGAAAATGTTTGTCCAAGTGAACAGAAATTGTCAGAAGTCAGGAGAAGGAAACACTGCTATGGTTCAAACCAGGTCACATCTGGAGGGCTCTTTAGATACTATAAGTTACCGACAAAATGGCCCTCGACTGGTGATACCTTTCTAATCCAAAGTCAGCAGAGACTCCCCTCTGTGTAGAGAGAAAAGGCTGGAGACATTGTAGCCCAACAAGTCTAGTTCAAATCCCAGCTCAGGCTAAAAATGCCTGTGTGCTTCTGTGCTGCACACTGTCTAAAGCCTGTTTCCTCACCTGTGAAACAGAACTGGCCTCCACTCCCCACCCCACCTCACAGGACTGAAATAGGAAAAATGTGGTAATGTCCATCTAACTCCGGATTCCTTTCCCTCCACTGTCCCCAGCCCTGACCCTGAAGGCACCTCAACTGTTCCCTCTCCTCCTCGACACCCCACAGCTTCGCCTTAGCCAAGACCAGTGACATATTGGCAAAGGCAAACGGACCTGGGCAAAGAGTTGGATTTCGGATCACTCGGACAGCCAGACGGGGCCCTAGCACGAGGGCTGAGGCTCCTGCCAGCTTGTCCTCGCCCACCTGGAGAAACTACTGCTTGTTCTATGTCATACAGCAGGTAACCAGAGTCTGGATTCACCCTAAGCTGTCTGATCCTGGCCCCCATGCTGATCCCCACTCTGCTGCTGTGGGGGTGAGGCTGTCCCCTGGCAGAGGGGCTCCGTGTCTTACCCTCAGGAAGCTCCCAAGACTCCTGGATGCTGACCTCCGAAGGTGCTTGGAAATGACCTGCTCTGCTTAGAATCTCAAGGATGGAGAGAGGTTTTTCATTCTCGCTGTACATGAGAATCACCTGGGGAGGCTGGTCTGTTTGTCCATCAATCAACCTCTACTTTCGCCTGAGCCCCTCCTCCAGAGGTCTGGCTCAACTCTCTATGGTGCGGCCCAGGCATCAGTTGTCATACAACCTCCCCAGGTGATTCTAATGAGTGACTCGGGACCAGGGCAATTCTCCCCGGAGCAGCTACGGTGCTTGGGTGAAACCCGCCGCGTGGGGCCTGTCCAAGCAAGAGTCATTCCGATTGCTGCATTCTTCATCATGCTTTCCCCCGTGCCTGCCAGTAGACAACACTAAAACCCCGCATCGCCACAACCCAGGGCTTCCCGGATCCTAAACGAATATATAAACAACATAAGGACATTCCTAAAAATTTGGAAGATAAAAACAAATCACCTGTGATGCTACCACCCAATACAACTATTATCTTTTACCCACTCTCTTTCAGTGCATCCTTCTATTGATGCGTCTGCACAGTTATAGTCACAGGTCACATGAGGCTGTCTTGCTTTCTGCATTAATATTACACCTTAAACCAGTGGTTCTTGAAATTTACTGGGCATCAGAATCTCCTGGAGGGCTTGTTAACAGGCATATCTGGGCCCCTTTCCAGAGTTTGATTCAGTGGGCCTGGGGTGAAGACAATTTGCATTTCTAACAAGTTCCCAGGAGAAGCAGATGCTGCTAGTATGGGACCATATTTTGAGAGCTACCGACATAAATCATTGCTTTTCAACTCTGTTGCATATTAGAGTCACCTGAAAATTAAAAAAAAAAAAATCTCAAACCTTACTGCCAAATGATTGAATTCCATCAGCCTAGGGTAGGTCTGATGTGGGTACTTTTTAAGTTCCAGGTGACTCTAATGTAACAGCCAGAGATTATGAACCCCTGCCTTGCCCCTTTAAAGGTGCTGGTTCCTCCAGCTTGCCTGATATCAGGATGGGCCATCTGAGAGGGGCAAAGGTGAGAAGACACAAGACCCTGCAGGGAGCACACATTTTGCTTGATCTGACCAGAGAGAGGGAGAGACTCAGAGCCTGTTCACTGCCAGGGAACTGAACAGCAAAGGGTCTTGAGATGTTGTCAGGCAACAACCACAGAAAGGTCGCCTGGCTATCCATACTCTGGGGCGCTGCTTTGCTCTGGCAGGTGGAGCCCTTGTGGGTCCTGACTTCCAGGAGAACTGCTGCACAAGAACAGCAGAGTGAGTCCTGTTCAAGCAGGTGACCCATAAATTACACTAACAGGTGATGGTAAAGAGAGCACAGAAAACAAATGGTCCCTGCTGCACAGTTTGACAACGCCAAGCCCCACCTGGAAGGGCGGGACTATGTCAGGTAACATTCCAGGGACAGGATTCCTGTTCAGATAAAGATCTCCTGCCAACAGGATGACAAGGGACTCAACCAAAAGTAACCAGCTTAAAATGCACCTTGAAAGGAAGCAGAGGTGTTTCATTCCCAGCATGTGTTCAGACACGGTGCTTAACTCTTCTCACCGGCCAGGCCCAGGCAGACCAAGGTGTTTATGTAGGAGAGACCTCCCTAGGTAGGGGCGGAGCCCCAGGGAGGGGAACCTGGGGTCATTCGAGAACCACAACCCACAGAACCAAGCCTGGAAAGACTCTCCCCTCCCACTGACTCCATGGGGCCCAGGAGCCCTGGGGGGAGATCTGGTCACTCCTCTTCCAGCCAAGACTCAGAGGTTGGGTCGCAGCTCCTCTCCTGTTCAGGTCTCAGATCCTCCTTACTAAAGGACAGGCCTTTCAGACCATGAATGACAAGCCCCAGAGTGCTTCTGAAAAGTGAGAAAGAAGGGTGTTGGTGCCTAGCCATTCCCAGAACAGCATCTTTGTTTGATGACATGCTTAGGCCCAAGGTCACACAGAGACATGGGGCAAAGGAGGGTAAAGGAGTTGAGACCCCTCAGCACAAAGAAATACAACTGTCAGTACAAAAAGGGCAGCTGCATAGAAGTGGCCCACACAAGGGGAAACAGTCAACAGGAAGCA